CCATAGTGTGCCGCGTGTTCCACACTATAAGGTCTACTCTTTGGCATTGTTGCAGTTGTGGAACTTTCAGGTTCCATGAGGCATTGCAAGACTCTAACAGCCCCAGTATGTCTTCCAGAGGCAATAGCATGATGGAGTTTGTAGCTTCACCAAAGCTGGAGCGCCGAGGTTGCCTACTCCTATGGATTCCATGCACTGCACTGATTATGGCCAACACTCCTGAGACATCTGTATGCATGGATCTATTATATTATGCTGTATCTGTACTATACGCCAGGGGTTCCGGGTGTGCAATTAGCCACAAATGGACATTAAGGCATGGCTGTGCCCACTGTCCTGAAATGAGGAATATTTCTTTTTTTGGACCTAGTGTTCATTAGAATTAGTGACAACAAGGGGGAGTTCCGTCATCACAAGCATATGCTTTTCAGGAACACCATATTACAGGCTAAGGGACCTGGGGTGGACAGGTGCAGTACAAAAAAAAAAAATAGTCTGCCTTCCCTGAATTCATCTCAAATTTTAGGGCCTGTTCACACGACGTCCGTTTTGTGTGCTGACCGGCTCCGTACGCTGCTGCACTCAAAATGCATCCCAATGTATCCCTATGTGTTTTATGGGCTCCAGTTCTCACGTGCGCAGTCCGTTCAGCTTACGACAGAAAAAATACTGCATGTCACATTTTGTCAGGTCCGTAAACGGTCAGGACATGCAAACGCGTCAAAAATGCACTGCGCTGCAGCTAACATACTAACAGCCCCACTCCAGCAAAAAAAATAAACGCGGCCATAAACGTAATGCATCATCAGCTCCACGTCTGCTGATCAGGACCTGATCTCATGTGAACAGGCCCTTTAATTTTCAATTTTGACTTGAGTGTATATTTCAGGGCTGGGCAACTCCAACCCTCCAGCTGTGCTTTAACTACAAATCCCATCATGCTTCTGCCTCTGTGAGTAACTGTCAGTCTTGCAATGCCTCGTGGGACTTGTAGTTCCACATTAGCTGGAGGGCCAGAGTGGCTCACTGCTGGTATATTTAACTGTTTGTTACCTTTTTTTTTCCAACCAGCCTCTATGTTCTAATTCTACTTCTAGGATCTGTAGCAGCAATTGTAGGGACACATAGGGGGTCAGCAGGGTTGAGCAGGACCAGAAGGGGTTGGTATTTACCATCCTAATAACCTGCCATTGATTATGAATTTCCCATTTGTGCACATATCGATGAAAAACTTACTATGTTTTGTTTATTTTTCAGGAAGGAAGGTCTTGCAAAATGCGGCAAATGCAAACAGGCCTTCTACTGCAATGTGGATTGCCAGGTAAGGTCTTAGTTCTTTATGTGTAACCTAACCGGCTATAGACAGCGCTGAATTAAAACACAACGATTAATAAAATATGTTACCTGCCTCTAACTCAGTGGTTCTCAACCTTTTTCAAGGGCCGGGACCCCTTGGTAACATTTGCCAAGTTGTGGTGATCCCCCAACGGTAAAATTTAGGGATGACGCGGCTGCTGCAGCGACATCTGGCGGCCTGGCGGGAGAACTGACACTGCTGCACTAGGAGAGGGCTGAGGAGGACTCTCAGCACAGCAGAAATCACACAGCGACCCACAGGGTGAGAACCACTGCTATAGGCAAAGACAGAACCGGGCTCTGCAGCTGGAACTAGAAGAATTGGATTTAAAGTGTGTGGTTATATAACATTTGCGGTACATACTCCGCAGTACTGTCACTGACAGAGAAGCCCATAGAGTTCAGTGTAAACCGTGAGAGTTACCCCAGATAAGATATACTTACTTCCCCTTCTCCAGTCTGTACTCCTCCCACCACACTATGTTGGAGGACCTTGTGGTGTGTCACAGTCATGTGACAAGCTCCTGGGGTGGGCGGGGGCCAGCTGTGCTATGTATACGCCGTACGCTGTCAGAATAAAAATAAAACAAACCACCATAGGAGTGCATAGCTAGATTCCTATTGGCTATTTCATTTTGCAATAGCAAACAAGCTATGGCGCCCGCCCTCTGCTGCTGTCAATCACTAGAAGGGGACCTGATGGAGAACTTCTGGTCCCCCTCTGCTGATTGGCAGCAACAGAGGGCGGGTGCAATAGCTAGTTTGCTACTGGCTATTGCAAAGGGAAATAGCCAATGGAATCTAGCTATGCATAGGCATCGGCCCCGATGTCAGAAAGAAAAAAAAAACACAGCAGAGAAAGGTTTACTCTTCTCGAGCGAGCAGAGTAAACCTTTCTGGGAGAAAGCGTTTCTCTCCCAGGTGGAGAGCTAGGCGACCCCTGGCAAATCGTCATTTGACCCCCGACGGGGTCGCGACCCACAGGTTGAGAACCGCTGCTCTAACTGCTGGGGCTGTGTGGAGCAATTCCGATTATTTTCTGTGTGTGTGGCCACTTCTCAGCATATTCTGGATACATAGAGCTGAACTAGGAAAGAGATAACTTATCAAAATAGAGAATCTGGATGTAAAGTATAGTAATCCAGAGCAGGCACACAGACTTTCCTGTATTGCAGTCACTAGTGCAGTGAAAGATGACTTCAGATTGGCTGCTGTACGTTCAACGGCATAACTAAAGATGATGGGGCCCCATAGCAAAACTTTGGAGCCACCCCAGCTAACTTTCTCTGTAGTAGCTGGCAGTGTCAACTGTGACAATAGGTGTCATTAGATCTATACTGCTAAGATAGGTAAGGCAATGTTTCTTACTGCACAGAGAAGGGGATTTGTGACTAGACGAACCTGATGTCTGACATCAGCCTTTCTATACCGGTAACCTCACAGCGTAGTTTTCCTAATCAGCCCCCCTAATTGGGGCCCCTTCTATTCCAGGCCCCATAGCAGCTGCATGGGCTGCTATGGCTATTGTTATGCCACTTTGTATGTTAAAGCTGAACTCTGGGATAAGCAAGTATTGTCTAAATATAAGAGCCGTGTGTATTCTTACCGGAATTTTGGTGAGCTTTGTGAATTTCTTCCAAATCTGTGCGGTAATCCAGTGTGAAACTTGGAGCTTCCTGTAATAAAGACCGGTCACTGCTGCTCTCTGCTTGTCCAGGGTGACTGGTCTTGTGTCCGCCCCCTCCCATAGTTTCCTGCAGGCAGCCTGTAGTGGGTGGGGCCTGTTGGGTTCTCAGAGGTGGGTGTGTGTGTTTTTTGGTTCAGGCGAAGTATATTTTCTGCAACTTCATGCCAGCCTGTGGTAAAGCCAGAAATTCAGAGCTCTCCTATCTAGGCACTGAACTGCAATCTCAGACATTTTCAGTCTTTCCAGTTCTCTTCCATGTCTACAGAACACCTCCCTCTCATGGACATGAGCAGAAGGGAAGTATTTTTTAGTTCTCAAAATCAAATGCAGCCTAGGGTGACAACATTGCTCCCCCCCTAGACGCAGTGCAACCCGTGAGCGTTGCAACCGTAGAACAGGAAGTGTATTCTTGGATCACCAGATGAAAATAAAGGAATCTAATGCAACCATGACATATAAAGACTGGTCAGCTGCAATATATTGGACTTTGTTCTTGGTTTAGGTACGTGTAAATACATGTTGTACAATGTTGGCTGTCTTGTTGGTTAAAATCATATTGCTGTAAAACCTGCATATCCTATACATCTAAGCAATTTCCATTTACAAAACGGTGAATTAAAGCAGGTCATTAATCATATAATATTTGAAATGCTGGTCACTTTTCTTTCACTCGGCGTGATCTGCCCGAGGATAGGTTTTAATTGGCAATGCCTACGGGGAAAGCCCAGTTAGTTATAAATTGGCTTTTTTTTTGTTTTGTTTTTTTCTTCGCCAACTGAAAGTTCTAATCTTGGAGCTAAAAATATACAAGGACAAGTCTATTCTGCTGAGATAAGTGTTCACTGTTCTGTATGCTGTCAGGTTTGTTTTCTCTTTGAGTCAAAAGTAGAGTCCTTGGAGTGCTCTGTAACCATTTCCTCTCTGTTTCTGACATGCAAGTCAAAAATGTCAGCCCTTGTCCACTTCTCCAGAGTGTAGGCTCCTGTTCCGTTTATGCCTGTAGAAGCTCTTGAAGTATTCACCATGCCCAATTGCATGTGGGTTGTGCCAAGTGGGCACTCCATAGGTGGTTGTAGAACACTCTAGACCAGGGCTCTTTCAGAGAGGGGTGCTGACATGACATCGGTACCGCTCTCTGCATTAATACACTGTAAATAAAGGGTGCCATCAGGAGATGGGGCCATGAAGCCCTAGTAGGGTGGTATTCCCTCAGCCTTCCTGGTGAATGAAGTTGAGCATTGTTCAAACTGAGGACATCTTCGCACTTCGGGGGACAACCGTAGATTGAGTGATGCCATGGGAGTATGGAAGCCTGAGCTGCTTGTGCACAATGCATCTACAGTAAGTATAATAGGTTCAATTCACAATGAGGATATTTATTTTCAGCCATGTGAATGTCATTTTCAAATCTTATTTTCTCACTCATGCATCCCCCTGTTCTCGAACACTGCATTGAAGTCCCACACCACACTCCAGACACGGGTACCGGCATCACTTCACTCCATCGCTTCCCCTTTGTAATAGGGAAAAAAATGAAAGCCACACACTGCTTCTTCCATCACGTATAAAACTCTGCCATACAAACGGCACAGAGACACTCCTCCAGTTCTTAACCTCTGACAGTTTGCACTGCAACAGGGACTTGAAGCAGATTCCCAGCTAAAAATAACAATATCAAAGAATAGCACATTTAAGTGATGCTAAACTCAAGAGTTAAATCCTAAAAATGCTACCTTAACTATTAACAAAAATGTCTGTTAAATCTTGTGTATCACTCGGCTGTAGATCCTCAAATCATCTCTGAATTGGTGCTGACACTGTCCGTCCTTCTGGAGGGGGGCTACTTTTGTTCCCCATGGTCCCTGTGTTGTAAAGTAGTCACCGATCCAAGCTCACTCCCGGGACGGACTACAAACTCAATACAAATGAGCAAACTAAATGTGAGATTGTAGTCCATCACAGGACGCGAGCTTGGAGCCTTGGCTACTTTACAACACACACAGGGACCATGGGGAACAAAAGTAGCCCCCCTCCAGAAGGAAGGACAGTGTCAGCACCAATTCAGAGATGATTTGAGGATCTACATCGGAGTGATACACCAATAAGATACATTTTTGCTAATAGTTCAGGTACTTGAATGTATTTTTTTTTTAAAGATATTTAACTCTTTTGAGTTTAGTGTCACTTTAAAAGATAAAATGACGATTTCAGAGAAGTTCCCCCGCACAACTTTTTTTCTGTTGCTAGATGTCCCTGGTCTAATGTCCAGCATCAATCAACCCACTTCCTCAGAGCCCAGATCATCCTGAAAAGGGAAGAAGCAGCAGCTCAGTGATAAACTACTCTTTGTCAGTCTGCTTTCTCTTCCTATCGGCATGCTTCTGCACAAGAACTGATTGGTTGCTTGTGCTGCTTCTTCATCTTGCTCCAGCCAAATGTAGGTACTTACACTGCTTGCATTTAAAAAATAAATGTAATGGTCTTATTCTTATTAAAGAATGAAGAACTGCATTCATTTGTGTCTTTTTTTTATACCTGCATAAAGTTCATCTTTAATCATAGAACTGAAATTGCGAAGCTCTTGTGGGGGGTAAAACATGTCTAGGGGAGGTGTGTCTCCGTTGCGTTTGCACAATAAAGTTTTGTATGTGAAGCAAGAAGCGGTATGGCAGCTCTGTGTTTGTTCCCATCTCTTTGGCGTTAAAATAACTAATTTTTTGAAAATAAGGATCCTTATTCTGGTGTGTTAGCGTTGTGAATTCAGCGTAATGCCAGTTGTTTGTACAGATTGATGACACGATTTGTTTTCCCCCACATCTTGTGTGTTTTTTTCTTTTTTTTGGTTTTATTTAAATACTCTTGCCATGGCTACAAGTGTTCATCACCTGTATTGCAAATTAATTCTGTGTATAAAAATGAAAGCTTGGGTTCTGATCTGCTGAATATTTGAATACTAAAAAAAAGTAAAACTTCTGTAATCCAATGACTTCAGATGGAAGCCTTTTCGTTTTGTCCAGCTGAGCGGAGAGCTTCATTCTTGGACTTGCAGCAATTTTCCTCTCTTGGGATCTTTTTGTGTCTTCCCTTTCGTAAAAAGGAAACGTATTTCACTCGACCTTTGTCTGCCGAGAAGTCAACTGTATCCTCATTTTAATGGCTCTGCTGTTTTTCTGACCATGCAGAAAGGAGACTGGCCCATGCACAAACTGGAGTGTTCCGCCATGTGTGCTTATGGAGAGAAATGGAATCCTTCGGAAACTGTAAGACTGACCGCAAGGATTCTGGCCAAACAGGTGAGGCTGGGGAGGAAACTGAAATATTATGTATTGCTGCTATGTGACTCCTTCCTGCTTGTCCATACGACGCTAATGACATATATATCCATTTTTTTTTTAATGGGGTATGAAAGACAAATTAGTGTCATTTTGTGATGACATATGGGTAGTATTCAGCAGAATGCACTCGGGATCACATTGAATGGGTATGGACATGTTGATGGTCTTTTGGGCTTGTGTCATTGGGCAAATGCAGTGTGCTTTTAGCTTGCATTTGTGATGTTTGAGACCCTTCTGAGATCACTGAGGATTAATTACCAGGTGCATCTGATTTGCATTTGATGGGTAAGGAAATGTTAAGTGATTTTTACTTATTATTAATTTTTATTTTTAAGGGCAAGGGCATAAAATAATGAAGTTTTACTGGTCTGCTAAATATAAAATATTACATATGCAGTCTTCTGTCCAGCCAGCAGGTGGAGCTGTAGTCTTTGAAAAGCTTGATAACGTTTCAGCTGTGCTGGAAGAAGCCATTGTTTATAAAGCTCAAATGAGTCATTGCAGAAATGATCAATCACTTATCAGAGGTCCTGGTCCGGGGTTTCAGCCAGAGAACGGGAGCTACAAAGCAAGCTGTTCTGCTGTGCTGTCTCCTTTTAGCTATACCTGTGTAGCACTCTTAGTACTGATCTTTAGTAAATATTCTAAACTTCCAATCAGCTACTGGCTACAGTCCTAAGCCGATTTGCTTGACAAGGTCCCAGGCACATTAATTTCAGGGAGTAATTATTTGCTCACGATGGAGTAAAGATGGATGCCAGTCACCTTAAAGTTAAACTTGAATAGATTTATTGCACGCATGCATGGAGAATAGGAAGGAGGGTGGAGGAAGCACAGGATACCTGAAGGTTTTCTGCACAGAACAGTCTCTGATCTTCTGCACTTCTTTCTAAACTATCTGTGTCCCTCTCTCACAGGGCCATGCTTGCTGGACACTACACTTAGAATGTGACTACTTGGCAATTGAGGTTCAAGTGGGATCTCAGTCTCTGCTCCAAGGCAGGACAGCATGAAAACATTCCTGTGTATAATTTCCTCTCAACCAGTCAGGAGGGGATGTTGAAGCCACTAGCCTAGAGCTTAATTTCTCTAGGCTAGAACAGGACATCACTTGCAGCCTGCATCTACAGGATTTCCTTCCAGGAGGGAAAATTCCTGCAGCACTCCAGTCCCATAGACTGGGAGAAAGATGGATCTCACAGCAACATCTTCCCCAGGCAAAAGCCTAGGAAGGAAGAACATATGAGGAAGCGCCTCAGAGAGTGACTCTCCCTCAATGGCTCAGTGGTTCTCAAGGATATCAGATTAATGGAAGACATGCCAGCTACCTTTTTATATGGTAGAGAGGAGTCTTTCCGACAGATATGGGCACAGTGGATAGTGATTCAATCTTCCACAGATTTATATAAGATCTATACGGCAATAAGAGTAAGAAGAGGGGAGGGAGAGAGGGGTTTTCTTTTTTCCCCCTTTTTTAATTATTATTATTATTGTTTAGGGAAAGGGGGGAGGGGTATAAATAATTTAATTATGTTATTGTATATGGATAAATGTGTTTGTTATTAAGATGTAAATGTGATGTAAAAAAAAATGCAGTTCTGCATGCTGATATAAATGTATGTTGCATTCACTACTTAAAGCATTTTTCTTTTTACTTACAATTAATGGTTTTCCACTTCCTGGTCCTCTTGGGCATTAGTGATGTAATGTGCCCAAGCGTTGCATCGTGGGAAGGTTACATCAGCAGAGTATTGTTGGGAAATCTCATCTGTAATCTCATGAGATCTCAGAAAGGCAGCTTCCTCCCCTGAGGTGATGTGCATGGTCACATATCTAGTCACATGTGCCAGAGTTCCAGGAAGTAAAGGTAAATATATTTGCCCTTTGTAAAAATGGCCACTGTGAGAAGCATTGTGTGTTTTTTATTTTGCTGACCATTTCTTTTTTTTCCCCACTTCCTGGTTCTATTTGGAACAAATGATGCAAGCGTTGCATCTTGGGAAGTTTACATGAGCATTGCTGGGTAATCTCATGAGATCTCAGGTCAAGACATTTTCCTCCCCTGCGATGATGTGCATGGTCACATGTCCTAGTCACATGTGCCAGAGTTCCAGGAAGTAAAGGGAGAGCTAGTAATCTGCCTTTAGTAAAAATGGCCACTGTGAGAAGACAGGAGAAGGAAAAGAGAAATAAGGAATGCAAAGAATACAAAGCCGGCAATTATCTAGAAGTATCTGTTTGTAGATTGTCATTACTAAACATTTCTAAATGTGTCTTTGTTGTCATTTCAAAGATATGGGTAAAGTTCCTCTTTAAGACTTTTTGTAATGAATTCCGTCAGAGGGTCTCTTTTTTTAAATTCTTCCATATCCTCCCCAGCAGAACCATATTGCAGAATGTTTTAGAAATCGAGCCCATTATCAAGGTTACATAAAAGACAAACACTTTGCCATAGATATATTGCACGCTTATTACTGCTAACATTTGAATCTGATTTTCTAAAACGCTGTTGGACAGTCGAAGCCTTAAGTTTTTTTTTTTAATCTTTCAACAAAAGACACAGTCGTGGCAAGACTTTAGTTGGTCTGCCTGGAGCTCTCTGTGAAATAATAAAGGAGCAAAAAGCCTAACGGAGGACAAACAAACGCTGTTCTTTTAAACGAGGAAAAACTGACTGGCAAGAATGTATAATGGCTAGCTTGTAGGAATAGATAAACACCCTATACTCTATGAAAGCTTAGTATGCAAAATACAGTCCTCTTAACCTCAGCTGCTGGGCCACCTGCAAACCCATATTTAATGGCCAAGATTACAAAGTGGTGGCCCGAGGCCAACAGCTGAGCTATGCATTTTATACTCTGTCAACAGCAAACGGATCCACTTACCTCAAAGTCCGACTTGCATGTCTGCCTTATTTGGATGCGAGAGAAACAAAGGGAAATTACATATTTAAATCAACCCTGCTATTTTTCTGATCTGATGCTACATGCAGATGGAGGATGTTCAAGATAGAGCCTTATGGCAATGTGGGTTTAAAAGGAGAGGGGGGAAAACAAAAAAAGGCAGCAACTTAAATGGACAACCGCTAAGCTAGATGGTAATTAGAACTGGTTATCTCTTCTTTTCTCTGTTCCATGTTTATTTAGCCAATTGATTCCCTCCCCGCCATACCCCCCCTCTTAATGGAGAATGGCAACAAGATGGCGGGGGCGGCAGGGTTGGTTTTAATTGTTAAATTTTTATCACTTATTTATATATTTAATCTTATTAATTTTTACTTTTTGGCAGGCTGCATGCAAGTGATCTTGGGGACATGGCCGAGATCACTTGTAGAAAATGAGCTGCGGCTTCCCTGCTCTACATTTAGCCCTGCTTGCCATAAGCAGGGCTAAATGTAGAAAAATCTACCCACCCAGCACCCGGGAACTGAATGTCCCGTTTGTCGGGCGATAGGATTTCCACACCCCTGCTGCCCTTCTACTCCCTGCTGCCCTAAGGCCGGGCCTTGGTGGCCTTGTGGGAAATCCGGCCCTGTGCGCGCTCCTTCTCAACACTCTGTCCATGCTGCTGACATCTCTCCCGCTCGTCTTCTGCAGTTTATAGCCACCTCTATTGGCCTGTCGGGGATGGCCAACTCCTGCACATGCACCCAGGAGTTCATTCATCCCAGCACATACCTCATGCTGAGATTGCACACTGAACTGCACATGTATGTATGTATGTATGTTTGTCAGCTTACAATTTAGAAATCTTGCTAGCAGACAGGGAAGGAGAGGTGTCCTACAGGCCTATATTCAGTAAGGAAGAACCTTCAGTTAGCATAAAACTGGACAAGAGCACCACCATTTATATGCTATATTTTATGTTAACCTAATTACAATATATATAGCTTTATTAAAATAACAAAATGCCTATATTTAAAAAAATAAATACAAATATTATTGACCCCCGAACCCTTACCATCTAGACATGCACCACAACAAGAGTGGGGGTATCACTATAGCAAATACATTTTAACTGTTCCATCAGCCATTTGACTTGACTTGTGCTTTAATGTGAAAAGCTGTAGCTCTGTTTCTTTCTTTCCGCAGACTTTAGCAAGCTGGACAATGAGAAGAGAGAGCTCATCCAGAATGATATTGCAGCCTTGCACCATTTCTACTCCAAAAATATGAACTATTCTGATGCTTCACTAGAACTCCTCTTTGCACAGGTGAGGATCCCACATTTCATGGCCCAGCTTCAGTCATTTAAAACGTATAATTTCACCCAGGGGAACGGAGAGGGGAAGCCACTTCCAAACAGACTAGGCCAACGCTTGCTTTCCTTCTCAGCTCCTTAGTGACACAGCTTTAGACATTTCTTTTAGTTCCTGGGGGTCCAGAGCAAAATGGGCTTTAATTTG